TTCAGCCAGTCTCCCATTATTAAAATGACATCATCGAAGAAAAGGATTACAAATCGATGTAGGAAAGCTTAGGAAAAAATAAAAGTCCTGTTCTTGTTCTCTGCAGTTCAATGGATACACGTCATCTCTATCTTTGTTGTGATTGAATGAATGAAGAGAGTTTGGCAGACGCGTTCAGAAATTCGCGCCAAAACTGTCAAAACATGGGAGCTAGGATCCAGTCTTTCATCGTCCCGTCCGAGTGCGGCCATCTTCGTTTCTGAACGTTCAGATCGATGTAGATCTTTGAGATCTTTGTGCATATGCTGCGTTTTTTTTCACCGGTCAAGTTAATTAACAATATGTGAGGGACAAGCTTGAGATCTGAACTGAGGTCAGAGTAAATGAAACTGCTTGAGCTTTGTACATAGCCTTGAGTTCGCACAAGTGAAGATCAAAGTCAGTCTCCGTTCATCGATATTTACCTATCATTGCGGAGGCAAGAGCTCAATGCATGCCGAATGGAAGAAAAAAAGTATGTTAAAGTGAGAACGCACGGCTGTATTTTGGTCATTTTAATTACACTTCACAATTTTTCTTGCTCTTTTTGATTTAAACTTAAGCTTTGATGCATGCACGAATGCATGCAAGTAATCTAGGGGCCGATAGTTTCTTATGTGTGTTTCTATCAAATTCTGAGATGATCCTAATGTCAATTTCATTTGCAGACTTGCTAATGGAATCGAGAAGGACTAAACTGAGTTTGCTTTTTAATTGACATTGAAGGGAACTGATACTTTTAATTTACATCCGTTTTGAGGCGTTTTGCACAATTTATTTTAAATTACAGTTACATGTTATAAATGTTTCCATTAAGACAGAGCAGTAGCTAGTACAATGTTATGCCTTTTAATGGTCATTTATACTGCTGCAGTAGATTTGAAGTATGCTTATTTCCCACTGCAAAAGAAGGAAGAATAGTACTTTAAATAAAGCAGTGTCAGTTATACGGCTGTAGTAGATTTGAAGTATACTTATTTCATACTGCAAAAGAAAGAAATGCACTCCTACATCAAAAGTATACTCTAAGTATACCCTTCAAATTATACTTAGAGTGTACTGCAATTCATGCAGTACATGAGGGATATACTGGAAGTATACTTTCATTCTCCTTCGCCAGCTCATCCGAATGAAAATAATTTTCTTACTACCAGCTAAACGACGACATATAAACAATATAGGAAGTTGTATCGCATAAGTACAACCTTGGCATTTATTATCACCAATATTACAATATTAGCGGAGCTCCAGCCGCGCGCGAAGCGCGCGCGTGGATGGAGCCCCATAGCTAAGAAAATGTGGTAATCTACCCATCCGAGAAAATTTGGTAATCACGTGACCGTACGCCCGACCGTCCGTCCGCACCACAGGGAAACCAATGTTTACTCTCACACTTTCTTGATAGTTTGGGAGCCCAATAGAAAACTAATTGCACATCAATAGAGTGATCAATTGACAGCTGTCAAAACAGGATATCCGCTGTCCAGTATCACCTGACCGTAATGCAGGCTCAAGTGTCGACCCATCGAGGTCGAGTACTTTTTTGAAGTTATGCGCTGACAAATTACCAGTTTCAAATAATCGCAGGCTCAAGTCTATTTTTTTCAATGATTCATATGAAATATGTTGTGTTTAAGTCACTATGGCCCCGCACTGTCAAGATTTGATTTCAAACTGACCTCGGACGCGAAAATTCAACCACTTTTTTAAAAATGAAGGCGGGGAAGACCTTTTCTTACCATGGTCACGCGTTGGTCACGCTCTACGTCCAATTTTTGTACTCTGATTGGTCAAAATTTGACAGGTGAGTTTATGCCTAAAATTTATGCAGCATCTTGAAAGTTGTTTACTTTGACAGCTAAAGCTGACAGAGTTTTGTGTCAACTTGTGATGTTTTTAACTGTCCTTTTCCACTGGATGTACAAAATGAAATACAGCTGCTATCAAGAGTCTTCTGTTATCCATGGCTGGTTTGTTTATTGGGTTTTTGATTGAGAAATGTGTCGCTTGTCAAAATTGGGTAATCCGATTTCGGATGGCATCGTTTTCGTCTTTCACCTTGCCCAATGGGTAAGAGGGTTTAAAAGTCTCAAGCAAATAATTATGGCCTTCCTTGACATCTTTCAGGAACTGAATCTCGAATGGTAAGCCTGAGTAATTATTGTATTTGATGTTTGTTTTTGTTATATCTAATTTCATGAAGTCAAGCACAGTTTATGCGGCAAGTTTTTGCACGTTTGTTAAGATTTGAGTCAATGATCTGATTTAGTATCAGGTTTGATATAAGCTTACAGAACTTTAAAAGGCCTTCAGATATATTTTCTCACGGCAAATAGAAATAGAAGTTATAAATTTGGCTGTAGAAAGAAAACTTTGAGTGATTTTCCTGCTTGGAGGAGTTCATCTTTGAAAAAAAAACAAACACCGGGAGGCCGGCTGAAAGTAAAACAAAATAAACGGCTCAGGATTTTTAGAGACACTTTAATACTTGTCTTCGTGAATGAAAATTGTTGTCTCTGTAAATGTTTTACCGAATTATATTTCTTTTATTGATTGTTAGTAGTCTCTGTTGCAATTTTAATCGCTTGTCTGTGGTGTTTGTTTTCATCGTTCATGAACATCGCTTGGAGGAGTACTTAGAAATGTCGCGCGTATCAAACGCTTTATAAGATTACTCATCGTTATAAGTGGAACCATTAAATAACAAAAAATAATGATAATAAATTCGTTATTATGTTGAAGCGTATCTCCATTAAAGTTCATTCAAACACTCAACCACACTGACAGCTCGCACTAAAAATGAGAACCGGCTGGCCGTATGGGTGATTTTGGAACTTTTTTGAACGGTTTCGCGAAAAGCCCAAGATTGATCGTCCTGAACATTGAAAAATTGTGAAATGCCGTATTCTGTCCGAGGTCTGTATGATAAAAAGTA